GTAAGATGTAGTATTCAGAGAAAGACAATGAATAGTTGTATTATGAAGGTTCAAATTACTCCAAGAATGAGATTTTGTTCCATTCACTAAAAAAATCACCTTGTGACCAGCCATCTTTAAGTCGAATTCCTTTAGCCATTTTTGAAATAATATAGTAGTTATCCATGCTTTGCTACTAGCCCCGTAGGTAATACCAAGCTTGTTCCTATTCACATCTTTAAAGCAACATGAGTTGGGAGATTTATCAATAACAAACAGCTTTATTTTATCTGTTCTATTTGCATTAGCACAAAATGCCACAGTCAATCATCCCTTATCCTTTTTCTTACCTTTAAGACGAACAGTAGCAAGTGTGATATCTGGTTCGAGACTAAAAGGTAAAAAAAAAAATTAAAATTAAGATTGAAAGCTTAGGCTATACAAAATTAATTAATTGTTTTTATAACTTAGTTGGGTTAAGGTTTGGAAACTTTAAAAAACATTTTTTTATTTGTTTTAATAACTAGGTGGGTTTTAAAAATTTTTTTAAAAAAATTTTATGAAACTTTTAGATATGAAATTTAAAAAAAAGCTGGCCGGACGGTTTATTTAAGTTTCATGTTATGAAACCAAGATATTAAATTTGTATAGCCTTAGTATATTTTTTTTTATTACCAATAGAATAACCCTATCTCGTTCATGTTATAGATATCTTTCAAGTCATATCTTTCTAAAGTTTTTCTTAGCTTGAAATGGCAGCTGTGACAACATCATCATCTACAGAAGCAGCTTCACCATGCTTTGTTATTTTTTCCAAGCCATGTCTTTTTTTGAACTTAAATAGCCAGCGAAGTTGTTAAAAAGGTCATTTGAGTGGGCTTGAACATTATAGAAGGTAAGTTGGATATTAAAGGATTTTAATATATTAAGAAGTGTGTGCCAGATAGGCCAAGCATTGAATTTAAAGAGTTTGGAAGAGTGAGATAAGAGGGATTGAAGTTTGTTAAATTTTGAAATAATAGATTGTGAGTCAGTAAAGATTTCAACAAGAGAATTATGAGGAAGTGTGGATATAGCGGATATAACTGCAATCAGTTTAGCTTTGTAAGAGAAGGGCCAGTTAGAGATTTGGACAGAAAAGCTTTGAATAGCATGGCTATTATGAACTTGGACCCAGCTGATACCCATAGAGCAATGGTCAGTACCAATTTGTTTTACAGAGCCGTCAGTATAAAAGGTAAACTGGTGTTGAGAGAAGTTAGAAAGTACAATGTGGGTTAGTTTTTTGGAAGCTTCACTTTCGTAAAAAATATTTAAAATAATTGAGTCAATAATATTGATAGTTGGTAGAGGTGGTATATATGAAGGATGCTTAATAGCTGTGGAGCAAATGAGATCAATATAGTTGGCATTAAGGTTAAGCTGCTTGTTGGCTTTCTTTCTTCCAAGAAAGTGGGTAGAAAGAGTAGTTGATACTTCTAAAGTACAACAACTAGTTATATAATGGAAGTTAAGATTGCAACCTTGACAGGGAGTGCAAGAAATTGGGGGTAAAGGATAGTAGTATGGGATAGAAGTATCAATATTGTGTTGCCGGTGTGTTATAGAGATTTTATTAGATTGAGAGAAGGTTTTACGGACTTGACCGATGATAATATTATTGTTAAGATAGATTAATACCCAAGGCTTGTCATTTTTAGAAAACATATTAGTTTGATATGCAAATAGGTTAATGCCAGTAGGTTGAAGATGGGGAAAAATAGTACGATGTGTGTTATTGTTGAGAATAGAGTTTTCAAGGTAAGTAAACCAGAGTGGTTTTTTTACTGTAGGGATATGTAAGAGTCGAGGAGATAGATATGACCAGTCTAGAATGGTATTGTTGTCTGCAGAGCAAAGTTGTTTAAGATAAAGGATATTTTTATAACGAAGTTGTTGTTTGAAGGTATTGTATTTAGAGTGGTTAGATAAAATATTTTCAAGAGATGTGTTGCTATCATTTATAGTTTTAGGCCATGAAGAATTGGAGTATGAGTGTATAGAGATTTGAAGATAGTTGAGCAATTGTATAATTTTAAAAGTGGTACAGTGTTTGTTTGGGTCATCGATAATCGGGTGCAGATGTGAGAGTATATTTGTGGTAGACCAGAGATTGTTTTGAAGTTGCTGAAGATGGATATAAGTGGTAGTACCAAGTGTTGAGCCATTGTTGATTCAGTTTAAAAAATTGCTAATATGAAATTGTAGTTGAATATACCAAATATTATGGATATTGTAAAGATTGTGATTAAGAAGCGTACTATTAGGGGTAGAACGAGAGAGATAAGCTTTGTGTTTGGCTAAAGTAAGATATTTGCTGTTGTAATTTGTTCTATAAATAGGATTTTGTTATTTTTGAGACTGTTGAGTATAAGATTATTAGGGTGGGGGGTGGCTGATACTTTGAGGACCACCCATGGCCTAGTTATCCAGACCTTTAACGTCCTATCCTCAGATCTTAGACTAATATATTCTATTTTATAGGTATTTATAATATTATAGAAAATTTCATCTATTTTTATTTTAAAGTCATCTACGGATTCGTTATCAGGTACAAGTATATCAAAGAAAATCTGGATTCTTGTAAGAGTAACTACTGCTTTTTGGCCATTGATAAGAGAGCCGTAAAGACGTAAAACATAATGATTTTTTTCACTGATTTTTTCTGATGAACCCTCAAAATCGACAGCCATAAAAGGGATCTCCTCTCGTTTAGCCAAAGCATTATTAAGAATTGCAGACAAACCCTTATCATTTTCTGCGACTATATTATCACGGGTTGGTAATCCTGTTAAATAATCACCACCAAAGTATCGGAGTAATTGTCCAGTTTTTTCATTTTCCGAAATCTGTGATTGAGGAAAGGCTTTGGCCCCCCGGTGGTAGAACGCCCCGCTATTTTCTTCCTCTAGCTCTGGCTCGAAATTCTCCAAGTTTTCCGGACTCTCTGGCCGG